CTGGACGTGGACGGGGAGAGCGGGCTGCTCTACACCAAGCAGCGCATTGACCGCGAAGTGCTGTGCCGGCGCAGCGCAAAGTGCCAGCTGTCCCTCGAGGTGTTCGCCAACGACCAGGAGATCTGCATGATCAAGGTGGAGATCCAGGACCTGAACGACAACGCACCAGTGTTCCCCTCTATCTCAGAAAATGCCGCACCCGGCACCCGCTTCCCCCTCACCAGTGCCCACGATCCAGACGCTGGGGACAACGGGCTGCGCACCTACCTGCTCACCCGTGATGACTATGGCCTCTTCTCCCTTGACGTGAAGTCCCGTGGTGATGGCACGAAGTTTCCAGAGCTGGTCATCCAGAAGCCATTAGACCGTGAGGAGCAGAGTCACCACACCCTCGTGCTGACGGCACTAGACGGCGGTGACCCACCACGCTCGGGCACGGTGCAGATCAATGTGCGCCTCATTGACTCCAATGACAACAGCCCCGTCTTTGAGGCAGCCTCCTATGTGGTTGAGCTGCCCGAGAACGCACCACTGGGCACTTCCGTCATCGACCTTAATGCCACTGATGCTGACGAGGGTACCAATGGAGAGGTGCTCTACTCCTTCAGTGGCTACGCACCCGAGCGTGTCCGTGATCTGTTTAGCATTGACCCACAGAGTGGCCTCATCCGTGTCAAGGGCAACCTGGACTATGAGGAGAGTGGCCTCATTGAAATTGATGTCCAGGCTCGCGACCTGGGGCCCAATCCCATCCCTGCTCACTGCAAGGTCACTGTCCGCCTCATCGACCGCAATGACAATGCACCCAGCATTGGCTTTGTCTCCGTTCGCCAGGGAGCACTGAGTGAGGCTGCCCCACCAGGCACCGTCATTGCCCTGGTGCGAGTCACTGACCGTGACTCAGGCAAGAATGGGCAGCTCCAGTGCCGGGTGCTGGGTGGTGGCGGTGGGCCTGGAGCTGTCCCTTTCACCCTGGAGGAGAACTACGACAACTTCTACACTGTGGTCACTGACCGGCCCCTGGACCGCGAGGCACAGGATGAGTACAATGTGACCATTGTGGCACGTGATGGGGGCAACCCCCCACTCAACTCCACCAAGTCATTTTCCGTCCGGATCCTTGACGAGAATGACAACCCACCTCGCTTCAGCAAGAACCTCTATGTGTTACAGGTGCCCGAGAACAACATCCCTGGAGAGTACCTGGGCTCTGTCTTGGCCCAGGACCCTGACCTGGGCCAAAATGGGACAGTCTCTTACTCCATTCTGCCTGGGCATGTGGGTGACGTCTCTATCTACACCTACGTCTCTGTCAACCCCACCAATGGTGCTATCTATGCCCTGAGAAGCTTCAACTATGAGCAGACAAAGCACTTTGAGTTTCGCGTGCTGGCCAAAGACTCGGGTTCACCCCACCGTGAAAGCAATGCCACGGTGCGTGTCACCGTGCTCGATGTCAATGACAATGCACCCCTCATTGTCCTGCCTGCCCTCATCAATGACACTGCTGAGCTGCAGGTGCCACGCAACGCTGGGGTGGGCTACCCCGTGGGCACCGTCCGCGCCCTGGACAGTGACTTTGGGGAGAGTGGGCGCCTCACATACGAGATTGTGGAAGGCAACGAGGAGCACCTCTTTGAGATGGACCCTACTAGCGGTGAGATACGCACCTTGCACCCCTACTGGGAGGAGCTCAGCCCTGTGGCTGAACTGGTGGTAAAAGTCAGTGACCATGGCAAGCCCAGCCTCTCTGCAGTGGCCAAGCTCATTGTCAGAGCCTTGGCAGGGCCCAGGGAGCCACAGGTGAATGGTGAGCAGCATCGGCGACCACACTGGGACTTGTCATTGCCCCTGATCGTGACACTGAGCACTGTCTCCATCATCTTGCTGGCTGCCATGATCACTATTGCCGTGAAGTGCAAGCGAGAGAACAAGGAGATCCGCACCTATAATTGTCGCATTGCCGAGTATAGCCACCCTCAGCTGGGAGGAGGGGGAGGCAGTGGCGGGGGAGGAGGAGGCAGCGGCAGTGGAGGGGGCAAGGGCAAGAAGAAGAAGATCAGCAAGAATGACATTATGCTGGTGCCCAGTGAGGGCGAGGACAGCCGGGGCCCCCTCAATGTCATGAACGTGGTGAGCAGCCCATCCCTGGCCACTTCACCCATGTACTTTGACTACCAGACCCGCCTGCCCCTCAGCTCTCCCAGGTCCGAGGTGATGTACCTGAAGCCCTCCTCCAACAACCTGACTGTACCCCAGGGACATGTGGGCTGCCACACCAGCTTCACAGGGCAAGGGACTAACGCCAGCGAGGCTCCCCCGAGCCGGATGTCCATAATTCAGGTAGGAGACTTTTAGAATACCCTGGACCTCACTTTAGGTGCTGGTTTAACTTTACCTTTTGTCTGCAGTGAAATCTGCTGTAAGGCACCACTGAAGGGACCCACACAAGTCACTAAAGAGAGGTGGACGTAATGAAAATGGGACTAAATGACGTCTTGTGGGCTTGGTTCTGCTGTCACACTGGTGTTTCCCATGTGATGCAAAACTAAATGCCCATTGAAACAAACAAGAGTTACGGCAGTGCAAAAGAGGTGCATGTGAGAGTGCAGGCAGGCATTTAGTATGTTTCGGGCACGCTGGGGTATCTACCCAGAAGGTTGTCAGACAGAGGTGGGAGCTTCCACAGGTTTCACTTTACTTTGGTTTGGGGTGGAGAAGGGGGAGGGCATTTCTGAAGCAGTCATATCATCTGCAGTAACTAACAGGACGTGGGAGAAACTCTACACACTGAGGACATCTATTGCAACAGACTGTTATAGCCGTCCAATCCTGTATGTAAATAAGAGCTATCTTTCCAAGATGTATGTTTTTAATTTTTTTTCATTTCCTTCTTTAGAATATGTATCTACACATAATTTTTTTTTTGGGGGGGGGCGCAAAACAGTATCATTGCCTCCTCCTCTCCCCATAAACAACCAAACCTTCAGCGCTGAAAATTTTGCTTAGTCAAATAGAAAGAAAATGTATGTGGTGATTCCCTCCTACCCCCAAAATGTTAACAAAACCTACATCCTGTCATAAAACAGCAAAACAACTGGTCAGATTTCCAGTAGCCTGAGTCAATATTGATGATTGCTTTATAGTGAAAGACTTACATGCTCTTTCTTCTACCAAAGCTCATTTAGAAATCACAGCTGGGCTGCATTCTGCCGCCAGTTACATCCACACTGTCCTCTACTGACTTTTGTGAGTGTGAGAAATGGTAGAATTTGGACCATTGGATATAGGGTGCTAATCAAAGAATTGCTTAATTTTTAGGAGGTAGTTTAAAGTCCAAACTCAGATGATGTATTCCAGAGCAGTGAACTCACAGAGTGAAGGTGAGGGCAGAATTTGGCCCCAGCTGATTTAATTTAAAGTATTACTTCATGATTAATGCAACTTAATGTTCAGATACTACAGGTATGTTCCAAAGTGATTTTTAACATTTGGATTGAAAGCAGGCTCTGGATAATGACTATTAAATATATTTGAAATGTCATATCTGTTTTATCCTGTGGTTCTCCTAATATGCTGTTCTGAGTCATAGGGGAGCAAGCTGAATGTATCAGAAGTGACACAGACTCATTTTGTGTATGCAGCTAGTGGGAAAGAAGTTGCACTGAAGACACTTGATGTACCAAAAGAAAATTCATAATACCTTTGAGTTATCATACCCTGCGATCTGTGAAAATTGAATGTTCTAGCTGACAGCTGCATCTTATGTTTTAAACGAAATACAAGTGGCCATCGGTAATTGGCACATTAAGTAACCAAAATTCCAGTAAGTGATGGCCTGTAAATTGAATATTTATAACTGGGGAAAAAAAAAAAAAAAGGCTGCTGTACAAAGTCACTGTGAACTCATCCTCAACCCACTACTGAGTTGTGTCACAAAAATAATTTCATTTTATGCCTATCATGAATTTGTGTTGCTATCAATTAGGTGAGTGGAGCAATACTTAAAATCTGAAATTGATTTTAACAAAAAGTGACACTTCAGGAAAGAGTTTAGGTTAGGGCACAACCAGAGATAATTTGATTTATAATTCATACTTTAAAAAACAAATAAGTTTCAATGACACTTGTTTAAGTAATGTCAACATTTTAAACTGTAAAATAGAGTTGTCAAAAAGCTAAAAAAGAAACCCACTTTTTTTTCCTACTGACAAGTGTAATCACTACTAAAAGACAGAAAATTATACTTTCCTACAACCATGTAATGTTTATATAAAGCAATTAATTAATGTATTGATGCTACTGAGTAGTAAAGATTAAATTGTAGTGTAAAATCCCTGTGGAAAATATGATTCCTTTTTTTACAGTGTTCACTGTATAATATCAATCATAACTTTTTTTTTTCTGAGATCTATATAAAGCTAAAAGAGGAATTTCCTCCCTTAAAAAGGTGTGTTGTGGTTTCTATACAGTTTTCATTATGACAAATGTGGGAAATGTTAACCGTAACTCCTCTTTGCACATACTGGTATATCCAATATTGTTTTTTGCTTTCCCTGAGCATCTACACAGTGTTTTGGATGTTTAGATGGTCCAGCCAGTAGATTAGGAAACATTCATTCTTCCCTAGTGAAACCTGTTCAAACATACTTATTGATACTATATTTTGTAGTCGTATTGACAAAGCAGACAATATGAAACAGAGTATAGGAAAGGTCCAGACTTAAAGTGGCTAGATGAAAAAATCTGATCCTCTTCTCTATAATTTTGCATTACTAAAAGACATTTTCTATTCTCCATCTCCACATCCTTGGAGTAAATTTTGTAAAAAAATTTGCATTTAGAATGTAGATATTACTTTGTGTCTGATCCTGTACTTCTGCCTCATGTAAAATTCAAAATGCAAATTTAAGGAGAAATAGTAAAGGATCAGCCCTCTCTCTGGATCTGCTATTTCCTTAATCACTCCAGGAAACCTGTGTCTGGAAAAGTAAATTTTACAGTTAGGAATCAAAGGTATAGCCAGTGGAAAAAAGATGTATAATCCGAACAGCTGCTTTGTAATCTTTCATCAGTCAATTCAGAAAAGCAGTTTCCTTTGTTACCTCA